TTCCTGTTTATTTGTAGGGAGCTGTGCGTAGGAATTCTTTGTTTTTCCAGTATCTCATTGTCTTTTGGTTGTTCGTTTGTTTCATTTAAATTGAGACTGTTCCTTTAAAATCGATGAACTTCGAATTCATCGGTAACTGCTTGAATAGAGTACATTAATTTAAACGTAACGGGTATCATTAAGTCGACACCAGTTTACAAATTAAAGCTAAGTTTACCACAATTTAAAGAATCTCGGCCAGGATCAATTGTCTTTATATAAGTAAACCGAAATGTTAAAGCCAAGACATCCGATATGAAACGTTACTTAAACATGGTTCAAACGTTCATTTGCTGATGTGAATTCCTCAGAGGTGTTTAAGTTAATGCGACAAGTATTCATGATCATGACTTTACTCAGCTTCCTTTCTCAACAGTTAATGAATTCTTGACTGTCACTCGCTTTAGTATTGACTTTAATTGAATCATTTCTATCTTAAAGTTAATTTTGATTTGTTGAATTTGCCATTTTAACAAAGTTCTATAACTTAATTGTTACTTTTTGCTCCCGTACTAACTTCTCAAATATCACTGCTATGACACTATAGAGTATATACTAAGTTTGACTCCTATAATGGTGAGATAATTCTACCTGTAGTTCTAATTAATTTTCAATGGCTTCACTTCAAACAGCTTTGCTTTGCCCAATTTTTGAAAAAAATTTTTATTCATTTAAAACAAATGCAAGGGAGCATAATTTGTAACTTCTTCACTCCTATCAGTGTCTTCCCTGTCTGCTTTTTTAACTTGTGGACTTGAAAGTTTGTCAGAGTATAGTAAAGAACAGTATAATTGCTAATGTCTACAAGCCTCTTGTAACTAATCTGAGCTACTTTGATAATTGCTCTCTTTCTTCTGTTTTTATTTCATTGCTAACTCAGGGTAACTTCTTTACTTGAGTGCCAAGTGTTAATTAAACTATTGAATTCAGTCACCATTTGAAGCAATGATTCCAAAAAAAATGTTCTCCTCAATTGCAATACAAAATAGTTTCAAAGACCTTGACACTTTGCTGAAAACAAGTGTTAGAAGTTGATGTAATAAATTATGAATTCATTTCTGCATTCTTGAGTGTAGGTCTGCATGAAGAATACTGAGAAAACCTTACATGTTAATCAATACCTGCCAGCATTATTAACATTAAAATTCTAGTTGCAAACAGTCAATTTTCAGTAGTATTGGCAGCCAGCTCAGGTTGCAATTTTGCACCTTGTCTCCATGAACTATATTTATACATGTTTTCCTTTTGAATTTTGTGTATGACATTTTGTCTTTGTATGCATTTTAAAAGTATACGTATTTGTTTTAACTTTTGTAGAAAACACCTTTCTGAGAATCACCTCATTGTAAGAGAGAACCCTATATAGACATAAATATCCAAGAAAGAAGGAAATTATTAACTTTATAAACAGCTGATGCAAATCATCTTCCTTACCATTTTCATCATGTTTTTCATGTCATCATCATCTTTATTTTTACGACAGACTAAGAGATGAGAGCCTGTTTTAGTAGCACATCCATGTGTTCAGGAGCAAAAAAAAATGTTACATTATTTTAAAACTTACTGTCTGAACAACTTACATTTAGTTGTTCATGATGTATGCATATTCAATTGTAAAATGACCGCATTGTTATTCCATGTGATAAATAGATTTGTGTTGTTGTACATCTGTCCAGCAATAGATCATTGTTGACATCAAAATGTGTGAAGAACAAAAACATGACATAAGGTGCAGTCGAGTGTGCCGTGGATGTGCTTACCACATTTTGAAGTAGGAACCCATCAAAGTGTGTGTATAATTCATTTTATCATTGATCCATGTGTGTTTACTTCCCTACAGCTGAGTTCCAGAATATTCTTAATTGGGGTTAAGTTCCATTGCAACAGCTGCAGGTGTTCTGATACTTGACTGACTGAAGAGCCACAACTTACAGTGATTTTGGCACAGAACAGTTAATTTTTCCAACAGCTGGTTGAATTTTTTGCTGTCCACCAGATTAATCACCACCCAGTAGATTGCTGTGAACACAATCAGCCACACAATCTACTGGGTCAGTGGTTTATCTGGTGGATGGTATTTTTGATTCAATAAAGCAACAGCAAGGACCTGATCGAGAGTTTAATTCAACTACTGCTACCATCTCACAGGAGAAGCAACTTGAAAAGTGAGTGTTTATCTTGTATGTCTAATTAAGTCTATGTTCTTCAGCTCAGTGGTGTATATTTCTACAGCTCTGATTACATCAATTGCCTTATCTATAGTGACTCAACCCTTTGATTCATTTTCTGACTTTTATTTTAATTTGAATTAATCATCCAGACACATTAAAAATTATCACCTAGTGCTTTGATAAGAATATGTTTTAAGAAGTGTGAATTAAATAATAACTGGCTGCCTTTAAGAAAGAACCTCTGTACATTGGGCTTGAGACAAAACCTTCGGTTGATTTTTTTTTATCATGTTTTTTGATCTGAGTATCGTATAAGCTTAGTTGTACAAACTGGAGATGTGTCCAGTTTTCTTTGATGTTTGCCATCAGATGTGATCATTCATATCTTTGAGGGATTTTACATCTATTGGGTAGGAGGTCAAAAAACACAAATCTTTATTTGTATTTGGGCTTTGACATCCACTGAGATTGATTTTGTATTTTTCAGTTATTATGACTAATGATTCTTGGTAGATTTCTGCAGTAAAGCAGATTATCTAAGTTTAATATAATTCTGTCCCATAATAAACTAACATTAACTTCTACAGTTGCATCAATTAAACATTGCTTAAATGGACAGGACTGGAGGCTAGTTATTGTGTCCAGGCTTCATTATGGGAAATTAAATTGCATGGTAATAAGTTGCTGAATTTTGGTTTTTAATGTGTTTCTGTATTGTTTTTATTTTCAGGAGCTGATTGGCAATGTCAGAAACTGCAAAAACTGACGAGAGCAGTTCAAAGAACATTTATGGTGACCCACCAAAGATTAATATTAGTCTTCCAGAGATAAATGAACTAACCCAGAATTCTAAACCCTCGAAGGATGTTCAACTCCCAATTGACATTCTGTTGTTAACAGTGAAAGACTGTGAGTTCTTAAGCTGTTACTATTACATTGCTGGTCCATTCAGAAGCTATTTTAAAGGGATTGGTCATGTATACTTTGGGAGCATTGGTGGAGACCAGGATGTTAAACTGAAAGTTGCTTTGATGAAATGCTCAGAGGGTTCTAAAGTTCC